ATTAGTACACGGTTGTTGTAATTCAATGTAAGGGTTATTAGTACACGGTTGCTGTAATTCCATGTAAGGGTTATTAGTACACGGTTGCTGTAATCCCGTATAAGGGTTATTAGATCACGGTTGTTGTAATCCCGTGTAAGGGTTATTAGTACACGGTTGCTGTAATCCCATGTAAGGGTTATTCGTACACGGTTGCTTTAATCCCATGCACGGGTTATTAGTACACGGTTGTTGTAATCCCGTGTAAGGGTTATTAGTACACGGTTGTTGTAATCCCATGTAAGGGTTATTAGAACACGGTTGCTGTAATCCCATGTAAGGGCTATTAGTACACAGTTGCTGTAATTCCATGTAAGGGTTATTAGAACACGGTTGTTGTTATCCCGTGTAAGGGTTATTAGTACACGGTTGTTGTAATTCCATGTAAGGGTTATTAGTACACGGTTGCTGTAATTCCATGTACGGGTTATTAGTACACAGTTGCTGTAATTCCATGTAAGGGTTATTAGAACACGGTTGTTGTTATCCCGTGTAAGGGTTATTAGTACACGGTTGTTGTAATTCCATGTAAGGGTTATTAGTACACGGTTGCTGTAATTCCATGTACGGGTTATTAGTACACAGTTGCTGTAATTCCATGTAAGGGTTATTAATACACGGTTGTTGTAATTCCGTGTAAGGGTTATTAGTACACGGTTGCTGTAATCCCGTGTAAGGGTTATTAGTACACGGTTGTTGTAATTCCATGTCAGGGTTATTAAAACACAGTTGCTGTAATCCCATGTAAGGGCTATTAGTACACTGTTGCTGTAATTCCATGGAAGGGTTATTAGTACACGGTTGTTGTAATCCCGTGTAAGGGTTATTAGTACACGGTTGTTGTAATCCCGTGTAAGGGTTATTAGAACACGGTTGTTGTAATCCCGTGTAAGGGTTATTAGTACACGGTTGTTGTAATCCCATGTAAGGGTTATTAGTACACGGTTGTTGTAATTCCATGTAAGGGTTATTAGAACACGATTGCTGTAATCCCATGTAAGGGCTATTAGTACACAGTTGCTGTAATTCCATGTAAGGGTTATTAGTACACGGTTGTTGTAATCCCGTGTAAGGGTTATTAGTACACGGTTGTTGTAATCCCATGTAAGGGTTAAAAGAACACGGTTGCTGTAATCCCATGTAAGGGTTATTAGTAGACAGTTGCTGTAATTCCATGTAAGGGTTATTAATACACGGTTGTTGTAATCCCGTGTAAGGGTTATTAGTACACGGTTGTTGTAATTCCATGTAAGGGTTATTAGTACACGGTTGCTGTAATTCCATGTACGGGTTATTAGTACACAGTTGCTGTAATTCCATGTAAGGGTTATTAGTACACGGTTGTTGTAATCCCGTGTAAGGGTTATTAGTACACGGTTGCTGTAATCCCGTATAAGGGTTATTAGAACACGGTTGTTGTAATCCCGTGTAAGGGTTATTAGTACACGGTTGCTGTAATCCCATGTAAGGGTTATTAGTACACGGTTGCTTTAATCCCATGTACGGGTTATTAGTACACGGTTGTTGTAATCCCGTGTAAGGGTTATTAGTACACGGTTGTTGTAATCCCATGTAAGGGTTATTAGAACACGGTTGCTGTAATCCCATGTAAGGGCTATGAGTACACAGTTGCTGTAATTCCATGTAAGGGTTATTAGTACACGGTTGTTGTAATCCCGTGTAAGGGTTTAAGTACACATTTGCTGTAATCCCATGAAAGGGTTATTAGTACACGGTTGCTGTAATTCCATGTAAGGGTTATTAGTACACGGTTGTTGTAATCCCGTGTAAGGGTTATTAGAACACGGTTGTTGTAATCCTGTGTAAGGGTTATTAGTACACGGTTGTTGTAATCCCATGTAAGGGTTATTAGTACACGGTTGTTGTAATTCCATGTAAGGGTTATTAGAACACGATTGCTGTAATCCCATGTAAGGGCTATTAGTACACAGTTGCTGTAATTCCATGTAAGGGTTATTAGTACACGGTTGTTGTAATCCCGTGTAAGGGTAATTAGTACACGGTTGTTGTAATCCCGTGCAAGGGTTTAAGTACACATTTGCTGTAATCCCATGAAAGGGTTATTAGTACACGGTTGCTGTAATTTCATGTAAGGGTTATTAGTACACGGTTGTTGTAATCCCGTGTAAGGGTTATTAGTTCACGGTTGTTGTAATCCCGTGTAAGGGTTATTAGAACACGGTTGTTGTAATCCCGAGTAAGGGTTATTAGTACACGGTTGTTGTAATCCCATGTAAGGGTTAATAGTACACGGTTGTTGTAATTCCATGTAAGGGTTATTAGAACACGGTTGCTGTAATCCATGTAAGGGCTATTAGTACACAGTTGCTGTAATTCCATGTAAGGGTTATAAGTACACGGTTGTTGTAATCCCGTGTAAGGGTTATTAGTACACGGTTGTTGTAATCCCGTGTAAGGGTTATTAGTTCACGGTTGTTGTAATCCCGTGTAAGGGTTATTAGAACACGGTTGTTGTAATCCCGTGTAAGGGTTATTAGAACACGGTTGTTGTAATCCCGTGTAAGGGTTATTAGTACACGGTTGTTGTAATCTCATGTAAGGGTTAATAGTACACGGTTGTTGTAATTCCATGTAAGGGTTATTAGAACACGGTTGCTGTAATCCCATGTAAGGGCTATTAGTACACAGTTGCTGTAATTCCATGTAAGGGTTATTAGTACACGGTTGTTGTAATCCCGTGTAAGGGTTATTAGTACACGGTTGTTGTAATCCCGTGTAAGGGTTATTAGTACACGGTTGTTGTAATCCCGTGTAAGGGTTATTAGAACACGGTTGTTGTAATCCCGTGTAAGGGTTATTAGTACACGGTTGTTGTAATCCCATGTAAGGGTTGATAGAACACGGTTGTTGTAATTCCATGTAAGGGTTATTAGAACACGGTTGCTATAATCCCATGTAAGGGCTATTAGTACACAGTTGCTGTAATTCCATGTAAGGGTTATTAGTACACGGTTGTTGTAATCCCGTGTAAGGGTTATTAGTACACAGTTGTTGTAATTCCGTGTAAGGGTTATTAGAACACGGTTGTTGTAATGCCGCGTAAGGGTTATTAGTAAGGGTTAATAGAACACGGTTGTTGTAATTCCATGTAAGGGTTATTAGAACACGGTTGCTATAATCCCATGTAAGGGCTATTAGTACACAGTTGCTGTAATTCCATGTAAGGGTTATTAGTACACGGTTGTTGTAATCCCGTGTAAGGGTTATTAGTACACAGTTGTTGTAATCCCGTGTAAGGGTTATTAGTACACGGTTGTTGTAATCCCGTGTAAGGGTTATTAGAACACGGTTGTTGTAATGCCGCGTAAGGGTTATTAGTAAGGGTTAATAGTACACGGTTGTTGTAATCCCGTGTAAAGGTTATTAGTACACGGTTGTTGTAATCCTGTGAAAGGGTTATTAGAACACGGTTGCTGTATTTCCATGTAAGGGTTATTAGTACACGGTTGTTGTAATCCCATGTAAGGGTTAATAGTACACGGTTGTTGTAATCCCATGTAAGGGTTATTAGTACACGGTTATTGTAATCCCATGTACGGGTTTTTAGTACACGGTTGTTGTAATCCCGTGTAAGGGTTATTAGTACACGGTTGTTGTAATCCCATGTAAGGGTTATTAGTACACGGTTATTGTTATCTTGCGTAAGGGTTATTAGAACACGGTTGTTGTAAGGGAAAAAAACAAGGGTTTCCTGGTTAATGGGCAATTTAAATTGTCAAAAAAAGAAATTGTGGGGGGGGGGGGGGGGGCATTTTTTTTTTTCATTTCAGATTTCAGAAATTAAAAAGAAAATTTCTTCAAATATTTTTTTTTTTGACAAAAACTAAAAAAAAGGGGGGTAAATTTATTTTTTTGTTGGGGGGGGGGGGGGGGGGGGGGCGGAGGCTGTCAATTTGCAACAGCATAGTGTATTGCACTAAAGCAAAAACATTGAATATATACTAGTATTCAAATCATATAACCAATTCTAAGTTCTTTGACTACAGTTATTCGGTGTCAGAAACCTATAATGTGTCAAATATTTAATTACAATCCAAATTCAGACCTGTATCAAGCGCGAATATTGTGTCCATTTTCGCCCCAACTGTTCAGGGTTGGACCTCTACGGTCGTATCCAGCTGCGCTCAGCGACGCATTTTATTATCTTTCAATTTTTGTAGTTCTCCAGTTCTGGGACTTAAATGTCAGAAATACAGAGGACGAGCACAGCAAGCTCTCATGGATGTCACATGTTTTCTCTATATACACATTATGCCTAGATACATAACTATGTACACATATTCATAACGTGTGTGTGTTTTTTAAACATATTGTATTCTTCAATCCTTTTTTTTTCAATTCTTGACCCAGTTTAGCGTACCAAAAAGCATGATATGTATACATACTATTATCACTAATAATAATATTATGTAAACTAGTATAGAAAAAATGTATAGTATGTCATGAACGTGTGTGTCAGACTGTAAACAAGAAACTTTTCAAAGGTAACTTTATTAGTGCAAAATTATGCCCTTACAAGTTGAACTATTGTAAATACAAGTATTTCCTGAGTATGATGAATTATACCAAAGCTTTATACTTTGGGAAAATACTTTCATAATTGGTGTCTCAATAAGACAAAGTTTAATCTTCAACAAGGCAGTCTTACACATCCGTCTGAAATCAAACTATAAGGAATAAAGAACTCAGGTGTGTACAACTTTGTTGATAGCAATATGCATACGTTTAGTTAGTGCCTTCTTGTGAGCTAGCACGTTAAAAATTCTACTCAGCATGTCGGTCTAGTTCAAAGCAGGTTATATTCACAATTCATTAATATGTAAACGTCCTGAACATGTATGTAATATTTGTCGCTGGACGTTAAGAAGCCGCCAATCAATCTCTGATTATTCATGAAATCATTTTAAATTATATTTAAGGATTAGTTGAACGTTTGAAGAATGGAGAGTGTATCCTTAATGCTGAGGGTTACATGTGGGAATTTGAAAGAAGAGGATATCTTAAGGCAGGGGCTTTTATTCCAGAAGTTGTATTAGAAAAACCCGAACTTATACGGCAGATGCATTTAGAATTTGTACATGCAGGCACAGACGTTGTTGAGGCGTTTACTGTAAGTTTGATATAAATAGAAAGGAGACGTCAGCTAAAAAACATTGCAACTCCGCTACCCTTCACAAAAATTTAAAAAAAAACAACAAAAAAACATAACATGTATTAGATGTAGGCTTCTCATATCTGAGGGGCGTCAGCCCCGAAGATATGATGCGACTTCATCTGATTTACATAGAAGTAATAAATAAATATTATATCTTTTGTCTTGTTCTAAAAAGAGCTATTAGTTTTGATTAAACAGGAAAAGTGTCATTATCTCAAATTTTCCAAATGCAGTAACACTTTCAGAAGATGTTTTGTAGTTATGGATTTGAAATGAAACCGTTATCGCATCAATTATTACAGTCTGACATCAAATTGATGCCTTTGTATTGCAATATGAATTGCTGTACTATGTTGTCTTTTTCTGGTTTAAGTGTGAAAACCTGAACTTTTTGCTGATGAATGATAACACTTCTATGAAAATGAACAACAACAAAAAATCTAAACATGAAGAGATCATATAAGGTCTCCAACATGACATGCGTCTATTCCATATGACAAGCTCTAAATTAAGGCAAGAATAGTTAACCGATGTTCAAATATCGTATATCGATTAGTGAGAGGCAAATAAAGGTAACACACAGAAATTGAGAAATTGCTATGCATGCACCACCCGTCATGTGACTTCACACTCAGTAATAATGTTACAATCGGTTAAATTACAGATCAGACGACTATGCTAGGGCCGGTATCATGAAGCAATCTTAGTGCTTAAGATCATCTTAAGATCATCTTATCTGCTAAAAGTGTATCTTGAATTAATCTTAGTATGATTGACAGCCCTTAAAATGCATGTACCACTCGCAACCCTAAGAGTACTCTTTGCCCTTCTCGGAACGCTCTATTAGTTTTAATCTTAACGACTGGGTATCTCGAACGTCGGTAATCAACTTAAGATTGTCTTTGATTATTCTTAGCAAATTCTAAGTGTATCAGCATTCTTTTTTTATACTGAAAACTTAACAGAAAATTCCAAGAGTGGTCAGGGGCACCCCTATCTCTCTCTTAGTTGATAAACTAGCGCTTGCAATGTTCTTGCATGTGCGTTAAAGAGAAGAAAATAGGATAACCAAAGGGTCTTCAGAGATCGAACAAATCAATTGGTTTTCCTCTAGACGACCGTAAGATTGTCCGTGATTACAGAATCGGCAAATGTCCCTAGTAACAGCATTTAGTTCTGCTGAATAGCTGTTAGCATTGTTTCCAAATCATCTTTGTTAAAGTTGGCTTTTCTCATAAAAAATAAAGAGATGTGGTATGATTGACAATGAGACAACTATCTTCCAAAGTTTAAATGATGTTGACGTAAGCAATTATAGACAACTTTCAACAATGGGACAAGAAAAATGTCAAACAATTCATTGAGAAAACCAACGGCCTAATTTATAACAAAACAAAAAAAAATATGACAGACATAAACCAACGACAACCTGTCCACTAAACTACAGGCTACGACTTGGGACAGGCACGTAACGAATGTGGCGGGGTTAAACATGTTTGTGAGCGCTCAATCCTCCCCTAGTTGACAGCGGAGTTACAGCACAATGTGCATATATGTGTAAAACAATAACATTTAGTATGGTTTTAATTTACTGACAACAAAATCAATATTTAAACCAATACAAAAAAAATATATTCAAAGATCTAATTACACTCAGTGTTGAATTGGTAACCTTTAAGAATAAGTTTATTTAAAGGATTGATAAGTTTACCTAGATGGTATCTAGATTTCCGGGCTCGGTAAACAACATCACCGTAAAAGTTTTGCTGTGTTATTCCGTTTGAAATCTTTCTACAGGTACAGCCAAACCTTTTTAAATCAAATCTTTGTATCTATAGAAGAATTTAGTAAAGGTTTTAAATAATTTATGGTAACGAAATTCATGACTTAATAATTTACCAGTAATACATAGATTATGTTCCTTAAAATCTAAAACGTTACTACAGACACGGGCATACCGAACGAGTTGGGATATATAAACACCACAAGACGGTGGCAAAGGAACATCACCGTTCAAAAAAGAAAAATTAACAATAGGGAAAATGTTTGAAAATATTTCGTTAACACAAACATTTTTATAACGTAAACATAAAAATAAGGAGATATGGTATGATTGCCAATGAGACAAATATCGGCCAAAGTTCAAATGAAGTGGATATAAGTAGTTATAGGCAATCGTACGGCCTTTAGAAATGAAAAAAAAACCATACCGTATTGTCGGCTATAAAAGGCCCCCACATGAAAAACATAAAACAATTCAATTGAGTAAACTTATAACAAAACATTTTATGAAAAACACATATGACAGACACGAAACAACGACAACAATAAGAGAAAAAAAACGGCAACCCATGCTTTAATTACAGGCTTGGGACAGGCACATATAGAATGTGGCGGGGTTAAACATGTTTAAAGGCGCCAACCCTCCCCTCACCCTGGACAGTGGTGTAACAGTACAACATAGAATAAACTATAAAATTCAATTTTAATTTAAGTATGTTTTTCGAGCATTCTATTAAACGCACACATGAATTTTACTACCGATTTTTCTGCGAATTCTAATATTCTCTTAAAAAATCAAAGACTTCGGAAAAGTCGATAAGAGTGCCATCTTAACTCAAAGTCGTAGTTGTATACTAAGATAGGCGTTAAATTGTTAAGAGAAACCCACGAAGGGATTGGAGATACGCTCTTAGCACCATCGTAATGTTCTCGCAAAGCGTTCGTAAGTCTTCTCTTAAATGAAACTTAAGATAGGTTTTCATGATACTGGCCCCAGGTATCTAAAGATTTAAGACCGGGAAAATATGTAGCTAGTGAGTTGAAACACCGACACGTCGTATCTAAATCGCCCTAAGTCTAGATATGTTGTGAATAAATAACATAGAGACTACTAAGATCTGCCATCATTATCGAATTATAAAATTACAAAACACAATGATACAAGAAAGACAATTACTGAGGAGGTTCCGGAGTTTTTGAACGCACATGTGGCGAGAATAATCTAGAGTTTTGAGTGTGTAAACTTTCCGATTTTTTGTATGTCGATCAGCGAAAAAAAAAGTACATTATATGAACATAAAAAATGAGTTCACAGAAAAACCCACTTCATTCTATAGCATTATTGAGGCTATATCGTTTTTTGTAAGAAGAAATAGAAGGAATGGAAGTACTATATAGAATTTATTTCTGTTTGAATGAATCGAGAGATAGCTAAGTTCAAACAACAGCCTTGTTGGCTGCTTTTTGGGGTTTTTTTTCAACACCAAATGCTTTCCTGTAGTATTGTATTGAATTTCAGTCTTGCTATCGTTTTCGTTAAACGATTTTGTTAAAAGTTACTTTCGACATGTTTAATACGATAATCAAACAGGTTCAGTCATTTTATAAAGTTGAAAAAAACATCTACGACGTGAAGACTATAGCATTTGTTCACGTTGTTTTAGCTGAAATGCCTATTTTAAAACTATTTTTTAAAACCGTGAACTGTTCAGTTCAAGTCTTCATTTCGATTCTATTGTAAAAATTTCAGTATTATGGCCATAGGGAAAAGTTACGCTTAATTGGTCGTGAAGACGATTTAGAGAAACTCAATCGCATTGCCTTAAAAATAGCAAGAGAAGTTGCAGACGAAACTGGAACTCTGATGGCGGGAGGAATATGCAACACAGGCATATATGTAGCCGGGGATGAAGAAGCTAGCGACAAAATACGAGCAATGTTCAAGGTAAATCTGTCTTGAATACATTTTCAATTGGAACAGAATATAAATAATAATAGTAATAACTAATGAATAAATTACTGAATAGATGGACGAGTAAATAAATCAAATTAATAAATAAATAGACGCAAATAAAAATCGGAATTTCAAAGTAAATTCTGTAAACATCAAATATTAAGAAACTGAAATAAAGAAAATAAATGAATAGATCAAACCTGGAGTATACCAATAGCAAAATTATTAAAGTAAATAAGTAAGTATGTGTCTTCAATGAGATTTTTTTACGAAAGCATGTTTATTTGCGAAATTGTAGAAAAAATCTCGTTAAGGGCTGAATCACATTTTGTTTTATAGACCTTTGTAAAAATTCTGAAAAATATCTTTGACGTATATAATATTATTTACTTCTTTTCCTAGGTTTCATTGAACTTATTGTACTGACTCTGAGCGAAACTATTGCATGGCGAAATAACCATGTATTTCTTTTTTAACTTACATTTTGGTCACCCTCAAAAGCCATTGTTCAACCTTATATAATAAATCTATATTGAACCCGAACCCATGTCAGAACTGCTAACATACACCTTATGGTCCCGACTGTCTTGATAATAAAATGACATTAACGGGGCCAGTCTGGATTGGGTTTACAGAATAATGGGCCAAATCTACAGAAAATGATCCCCAAAAAATAAAGAATAGAGAAAAACAGGCCAATAAAATAGAGAATAATGGGGCGCTAAAATAATGAAGAATTAAGATTAATGGTAACAAGATATAAAGAATAGAGAAAAATGACCTAAAAATTAAAGTATACAGAAATAAAGTCTAGTACACGAGATCGACAGTATTATTTACATTTCAAGGAACAAGTAGAATGGGCAGTAGAAGAGAAAGCAGACTTCATCATCGGAGAGACTTTCAACGACCTAGGAGAGGGCCTGTTAGCATTAGAAGCAATAAAAAAATACGGCAATGGTTTGTATTGTTTTAAAAGCTATCATTATATGTTAAAACAAAATGCACATGTATTAATTTGAACTATTTGTAAATCTCGAACCTTAGCATTATCTAAAATTTCAAACATAGTAACTGATTATATACGTTTTGTTTTTGCATTTCCTGGCCCAAAGGGCTAGTATGAACTATTGCCAACACTTGTCGTCTGACTGTTAACTTTTACAAAAATCCTTTCCTCTGAATCTTCTTGACCAATTGGAACAACCGTTAGCCACATTCATCCTTAGAGTATCTTGTTAAAAAATATGGCCGATGATCCCATCTGCAAACCAGCATGGCTACAATGGCTAAGTCATGAAACTATAATAGATAGAAAGAAACTTTAAAACCCAAAAATTATCTACAAGAGAGATCAAGATCTGCAAATGAGTCATTTGATATGAAAACGTTAATCGACTCTGTTGGCCCTACATCACAGTTTTAACTCATTTAAAAAAAATCATGTTGCTTTTTATTTTGAAAACTATATTAAATGGATAAACAACACCACAGTCCACCAAAAACCATCAGCAAGACAAGTTCTCATTGTACACCAATTTTCTTGTTGAACTGTGAATCAGCTTTATGCAAAAGTGCGAGGTGAACGGTACAAGCTCCTTGGAGCCGCTAGTTTAGAAATGCCAATGTTTACTGAATGTATATGTTACAGTACAAATTATGATTCAGTATGAATCGGAATCAAAGTACTATTGTAGTTGTAATTTATATTAGTAGAAATTTAAATTCTTATTTATACTAATTTAAATCCAGTGCAAGTCAGAATTCCAATATATGCTAATAGATTTCTACATTTTCTCCTAAATCGTATCAATTGACGTAAATGCCATAGGATGGGTATCTTGTTTGTTATTTCTAGAGAATGTTAAAATAAGTTGACAGTAAGAAACTGAAATCATCTACATCTATCTAGGTCGTTAACTTTTAAAAGGTCGTTGACCAATCGCACAGGTATATTAATATATACATTACATCGTCTATCATTCATAGCTCGTTAAAACTTGTTTTATCATCCATCCGTGTCAACTTCTTTACTTACATAGAAGTGTTATCATTTATCAACAAAAAGTTCAGATTTTGGAAATTGAACCTGAAAAAGATAAGATAGTACGGCGATTCAAATTGCCATATAAAAGAAGTGATAAGGTATTAATTTGATAGAAAAATAGACGCAATTAACATTTCATTCCAAATCCATAACTACAAAACATCTTCTGAAAGTGTTACTGCATCTGGAAAATTTGAGATAATGTCACTTTTCCTGTTTTATCAAACTAATAGCTCTTTTAAGAACAAGAGAAAAGATAAAACATTTATTTATTACTTCTTTGTAAATCAGATGTAAGTGACAGTTCTCTAGGTATGTCCCTTTATAACGTTTTATGCAAGCGGGGGCATAATCTGTGTCCCATGGACACATTCTCCCTTTATTTCTATATACTTTTGAGCAAAAGTTCAGTTTATCATTTTGTATTATTCACAGAAACTCATTAAGATACTTATTTCGTCCAAAAAAGGAATACACAAAAGGGACAATAAAAACCCATAACTCGGGGGAAACTTAGACACACCTCTTGGCCAAAAATCGACCAAAAGTACAAAACAAAACACACAAAACTGAAGATACAGCAACACGAACCCCGCCAAACACTGGGGTGAACTCAGGGCTCCAGAAGGGTAGGCAGTTCCTGTCCCATTAGTGTCATTTGTGGTGCTAGTACGTGTTGCTAATACCAACTTAATGTCACAAATCGGCATATTTGTTATATTAAACTATTTTGTTTTGTCGAAAACAAAAAAAGAGGTAAATATTTTTTTTCTAAATAGTAATGTACTGCAAATCTTTTAGGTGTACCCGCAGTAATAACTCTTACACCATATATTCCTGATGAAACAACTGACGATGTACCATTGCCGGAAGCTTGTCGTCGTCTTGAAGAGGCTGGCGCAGATGTCGTTGGGATTAATTGTGGCAGAGGTCCCAGAACTATGCTTCCATTGTTACGAGAAATTAAAAAGGTTTGTCAGGTGAGTATCCTATAAATATTATTTTGTTCAAAGTTATTTTATGTTGTGCTGTTATAACACTGTCCAAGGTTGTGGGAAGGTTTGGCGCCCGCAAACCGGTTAAACCCCGTCACATTCTATATGTGCCTGTCCCAAGTCCGGAGTCTTTCATTGAGTGGTCGTTTGTTGCTGTTGTCATATTTGTTTTTCGTTTATTGTCGACTCCTTATTAGAGTTATTGCCATGACGAATTTAAACAATTTTTTGCGTTTTTGCCTTAGATCTTTAAAATTATAATAGTTAGATAGAAATTTAAAGAAGCAAAAATGATCAGCAAGACCAGATCTACAATTAAGACAATTATGGAGGAAATCGTCTGACGACTCCTTTTTGGAGTTATTACCCTTTTATGACGATTTTTACCATTTTTTTGCGTTTTGCCTTTAATGATAAAAGTTATTATAGATAAATAGACACTTTTAATCACAAAAATGATCAGCAAGGCAAATTCTACAGAAAAATTGGTACCGTTTATGTTATTACTACCACTGGATCGATACCTCTGCTGGTCGACTGATAGTCCCCGAGGGTATCACCATCCCAGTAGCCAGTACCTCGGTACTGTCATGAAAATACGGATTTTGTGTTATAAAAATTTGCTGTTACAAAATATTTTGAAATTATCTAAAATTAAAGAATGTATCTCCCTCATGCAAAGCTCTGATTCCTTGCCCAGCTTTGGCTTTACTTTTTTGTCCTTTTTGGTTTATAGCTCTTCATCCTTTTAATAAGCTTTGGATTTTCAAATATTTTGGCCTCGATCATCACTGAAGAGACATTGATTGTCGTAATGCGCATCTGGTGCAGAAAAATTGGTACCGTCTATGTTATTACTACCACTGGGTCGATACCTCTGCTGGTGGACTGATAGTCACCGAGGATATCACAATCCTAGTAGACAGTACTTCGGTACTGGCATGAAAATACGGATTTTGTGTTATTAAAATTTGCTGTTACAAAATGTTTGAAATTATTTTAAATTAAGGAATGTATCTCTCGCATGCAAAGATCTGATTCCTTGCCCGGCTTTGGCTATACTTTTTTGTCCTTTTTGGTTTATAGCTCTTCGTCCTTTTAATAAGCTTTGGATTTTAAAATATTTTGGCCTCGAGCATCACCGAAGAGACATTAATTGTCGAAATACGCATCTGGTGCAGAAAAATTGGTACCGTTTTACTTTATGTTATTACTACTAACAAGTCAATTTTTGCCGATATAGTTAGTAAACTGTCATTCTTCACAGGAGTGATTTCTAATAAATGAGGATTTTTTTACCCTCTTTTGTGTTTTGAGCAAAAACTAATGAAGACAGAAAGAAACTAAACAGACTAAATGATCTGCAATACAAGATCAACAAAACAGAGATTTATGTCATGAATTTTATTCTTGTCGACAATGTTGGAGAGTGTCTATTGTTGAATATGCACATAGACCAAGGTGAGCGACACAGGCTCTTTAGAGCCTCTAATTACATTCACTCTCAATATAGGAGATCGCGGATATCTTCATTTAACCAATAATCTTCATAAAATCATTAAAAGACGTGAGCTTGACCTTGACAGAATATATTCCAAAGAACTACCGACAATACTAACCGTGGGAATATGTTCTCATATTCTCGATGAAGTTTGACAAATATAATGTGTTTTAGCCAGTTGTCATAATGGAAATATGTTGATTGACAGATGTTTTGTAATATCACGTGAACTTGACCTTGACGGAATGATATCCCAAAAAAGACCTATTATGACTATATGTATGTTGGGAATATGTTCTCATTGCGGTGAAGTTTTACAAATATGATTTGTTCACATGTACGACATTTGTCGTAGAGCAATTTAATACAACAGTTGGTTTTTTAAAGTGTCAAGTTTTGTAAAACATCAAAGCCAATGATCAATACAATGTACATCAGATTTTTCTGGCATCTGTAGTCAGCACTTTTGTGTTGACATGAATTATAATTGATATTGTCATATTTTTAAATTAACTGTTTACAAAACTTTAAATTGTTGGAAATACTAAGGTTTTTCTACCCCAGGAATATATTACCTCGGCTGTATTTCGCAAAACATTTCGGAAATTTTGGCCCTCAATGCTCAAGCGTCACTGATGAATCTTTTGTAGGCGCATCGCGCGTCTGGTGTACAAAATTATAGGCCAGATATCTTTGATAATTTTTTTTCTGAACTTCTTCATGTATAGTCAATCGTCGCTTCAAACGAGATGCTTCTTGGTTCTTATATGTTATGCTATAGTACTGTTTCAAATCCAAAAGTTCTAGCTTAATTTGTCATTTACAATTATTTAAGTGAAAAAATGAAAATATTTTAGGGTCCAGTAGCTGCAATGCCGGTACCTTTCCGCACAACAGATGACCATCGAACATTTCAGTCCTTATTGGACCCGGAAACAGGTTTGTGCATTAGGCATGACAAAGATATATAAAAATGTAAAGGAAGTAAACCAAATTTCCTGTCTATTTTGGGGAATTTTCCTAAAATCTTGCATCTTGATGTTTGTTAAGGTTCTAACACCATAACACATTTCTTATCATTTAGTTAAACCATGAATATTTACAAATGTTTTATAATTGCAATATTGATTGATTTAAATATCTTGGAAAAGAAAGGAGATATCAAATCAAATTTAAAAGTTTGTGAAAAGCCTATCTATGTATTGTCTTCCAAGTAAAGTTTGATCCAAGTGTGTTTCTGGTGTCTTTTAAAATTTGTGAAATTTTCAATATTCTACAAGTCTATCAAAAAATGTGTTCAGCAGCTTTGTGTAGCATAACTATACTGATATTTTTTTTAAATGTTTGAATAGTTAAAAGATCATGTAGATTTCAACATATGTTTTCGATTTTAACTTTCTGAGTGAAACTAATACAGCTTAGATTGGACATATTACCACTTACTCTTAGAGATGTCTGTTATGTAAACATTGAGCAAAAGACTGACTTTTTTGTTAACGTTGGTAAATGGTCTGATGCATCAATTATTTGTTAGATACAAATGTTATTGAAACTTTAAAGAACAATGTGTTAATTTAGACTGATAGTTTTATGTGTATTGTCATAACCTAATAGAAACAAGTTTTTATTACTATGAATATTTTTTTTTTCATTACCCTTCCTTACAGCTTTCTTGTGCATACAAATGTATATAATTTTGCACACATTATGTAAGATTATTTACGTCTCTTGTAGGTAAATCTTTGTATCCACTAGATTTAGCTTGTGCCATGTGTAGCCGTTCAGACATTCGACAGTTCGCAACTGAAGCAAAAGAAATTGGAATACAATATATAGGATTATGTTGCGGAAATGCACCAAATTATTTCCGAGAATTAGCACAAGTTTATGGAAGACAGCCAGAAGCATCAAAGTATTCACCCGACATATCTCAAAGCTTTATTTTTGGGGAAAAAATTAGTAAAAAATATTCAAGCTCTGACAAGCTAAGGCAGTACATGGTTTCAGGAAAAAGCACCAAATAAGCTATGATTTAAATATTAATGATTTTAGTTTGATGATTACTGCACCTGTTCACTGCATTTTGGTTAGACGAGTTATTGACTATGCATATCATTTGTAATATGTATAACAGTCTATATAACCTGCACTACATATTTTGTTGAATGTCAAATATATACAAATAGAAATGAATAAAATTTAACGTTCAGAATGCTGTCAGGTTTTATTATTTGATATTTTTTTTAATTACACCGAACATTTAAGTGGCCTTCATTTTTCATATTTAATATGTTAACTTAATGAGCATATTAAGAGCAAGTTTATCCTTCGGTGTTTAAAAAAATAATTATCATTTTGGGAATCATGCCATCCCATTTGAGCTTTTCTACCACAAATAAAGTCGGTATGGGCCTATTTTCTTTTCAAGGTTTTGAATGATCATATATTACTACTTTTCAAACCTTTTCATCCCCGGAAAGAACCCAGAGGTATAGAAATGGGATCCAGTTTGTCCTACTGAGGTTGTGATCCTCTTGCAAACGTCTGATGTTATGGTGGACATATCAAATATGCAGCAGGTGATTCGAGAGTGCTATGATCCTTGCACGAAAAATACCCCTCTAGTATCGATCAGTTTCGTCCATTAAAAGAAGGCTCATTGGTGCCGATGTTGAGCTAAATTTGCTGACCCTAACCAACTCTCTATATATATTATCTGTGGCAGTCAGAACTAGGCTTTCTTCTTTATATCCAATCCCACTCCCTTTCTTTCCTATTTTCAGTGTTTGGGCGTAAAACACCAACAATCACAATCAACCAATTGTATGAATTATAGTTCCAAGGGGCATACCCTCCCAAAAAAATCAATAGGTGCTGATTTTATCGAAGTCTTCTTAGATATTGTTGATGTAACTCTGACATAAATTTCATTTAATTCCGATGAAAAAAGTAGCCACAGAGCGCTTATGATGCTTATTTTTAAACAAATTTCCAAGGGGTATGACTTCCGAAATATATTCAGTCGGTGCTGATATTCGAAATTGTCTGAGATGTTCCTGATGTTAATCTTTGACACGTTTAACTTCGATGAGAAATTGATTGAAACATCCTTCATCTAGTAATGCCGTTAGTATAAGAAACATGATCAACAGCCAACATGTTTTATGTACTGTCATGCTACACTTACTCTTTGGAAAAGACAAGTTTTTATTGTACATCTGATAATACTTACCCCACAACATGAATACAAACTTATACAACAGGACCATTTACAAACCAATGTTATTGGAGGGGGAATATATACTTAACTGAACAACTTATTCAGTAACATCAACTGTACAAACTAACTATTGCATAAAAAGCTGCAACCACCATATACAATTGACTCACCCAAAATATACAATTGCCAGGGACAGGGGTACACAAAGACTCATCTTTCTCTTACTGAGTGGCATATGGACAAAACCAGGCCAGAGACAACCAATATTGCCATTCACTATATGCCAAAAAGCATGTAAAACGGAATCTATAGCTTGCGACAACTGTGACGAGTGGACGCATAGAAATTGCATTCGGATGTCAACATCTGAATTCAGCAACCTAGGCAAAAGTGAAGACACATGATATTGCCCATCTTGGTCCGAACCAAACAATTCGTCAACAAAAATATATTTTTCACCAAATGGAGATGACAACAAGCGCTCAACATTTAATATTTCAAACAATCTATGAATGGCAAACAGCTCAGATATACCGATCATGACATAACCAACTAAAACCAATCCAGCCTACAAAAAAAAAGACTATTAAACATTAAGTTTCAAATTCTTGAGAGAAAAGGATAAACTGCTTGAAGCAATTATTGAGTCAACTGAACCAGACGTAATAATAGGCACTTAAACATGGCTAGATTTCAACATCACATCAAGTAAGATCATACCAGATTACTTCCACTATGACATGGAACGCAGAGATCGCACAAAAGACCCCAACGGAGGAGTAATGATAGCAGCTTAACAAATACTACAGTTGAGAAATATCATTAAAAGCAGATATAGAACTGCAGACTGGCACGATTAATATAAAAGGAAAAAAGAAAATGAGTGTTGGTACATTCTATCGAACATCAGATAAAACAGACGACACTTACCTGGACAAAATTAATATTAATGTTAAAAACGAAATAATAACATCAGAGCGGAACATCAAAAAGTTATATTCCTTATTGGTGGCGACTTCAACTTACCAGACATTTAACTGGGCAGAACAAACAATTGACCACATACAGTATCCTACCAAAACCTACCAGGCTTTATTAAAATCGTAAACAATAAAGCAGCCATACAAACCACCACAGAGAAGAGATTACCATAAAAAGAAATGACACAAAGAAGACACACCTATCCATGGATTAATACAATAAAACGCAAAATAAACCAGAAATAAAAAGCAAACATGAAGACAAGAAAATCTTGAATAGGAAAGAGACATGGATAGGCATCAGAGACTAAAACAAGATGTACAACGGAAAATCAGGCAAACGAATAAGAAGTAAATGGAACAAGTCCGCTCTGATTATAAAGACTATAAAGACAACGCAAAATAATTCTGGTCATACCTCACGTGCAAAGGCCAAGAATAGACAAGAGTTGCACCGTTAAAACATTAAATGGATTTTTTTCAAAGTGACAACAAGGGCAAAGCGGACATTCTAAATGGTCAATTGTTGTCAGTTTTTACCAAAGAAACCCATAAGAACTACCCAAATAAAGGGAGAAGTCCATATTCCACCATGAGGTATATTAAAATTAGCACTAACGGAGTCCACAAACTGTTGAAAATCAAAACCCTCATAAAGCCTCTGGTCCAGATCCAGTACCATTCTTTATACTGAAAGCAGCGGCATTCTTACAGACCTATGTCAAACATCACTGAACACTGGCGAAGTCTCGCAAGATTGTAGAAATGCACGTGGAGTTCCACTTTTCAAAAAAAGTCTACATGCACTTAGCATCTAATTACAGACCAGTATCTCTTACTCCCATCACATGCAAAGTCTTGAGCACCACTGAAGAAACATTTATCACCAGCCCAGTAGACAGTACTTCGGTACTGGCATGAAAATATGAATATTGTTTGATTAAAATTTGCTGTTATGAAATTTTTGAAATTATTTTGAATTAAGAAAATAAACTCATCATAGATACCAGGATTGAAATTTTGTATTTGCGCCAGACGCGCGTTTCGTCTACAAAAGACTCATTAGTGACGCTCGAATCAAAAAAGTTAAAAAAGCCAAACAAAGTACGAAGTTGAAGAGCATTGAGGACCAAACATTCCTAAATGTTTTGCCAAATACAGCTAAGGTAATCTGTTCCTGAGGTAGAAAAGCCTTAGTATTTCAAAAATTCAAAGTTTTGTAAACAGTTAATTTATAATTATGACCATATCAATGATAATTCATGTCAACACAGAAGCTGACTACTGGGCTGGTGATTCCTTGTCCTGGTTTGGCTATACTTTAAGTTCTTTTTGGTTTGATCCGCTCTTCAACATCTGCATTAGATTTTGTATATTCAAAAAGTTTGGCCTCGAGCATCACTGAAGTGACACTAATTGTCGTAATGCGCATCTGGTGCATTAAAGTTGGTACCGTTTATGTTATTAAAACATATTGTACATAACAATATAATGGACCTCTTCGACAGAATTAAGATACTGACTAATGCACAGTATGGATTCCGCGAATACAAATTTATCATAACAATTTACGACATCGCATCAAAATTAAAAAGAAACTGTCTAGTAGATATCCTTCTTCTAGATTTTGCAAAAGCATTTGACAATGTGCCACATCATCGCCTTCTACACAAGTTAGAATATTAACCATAAAACCAACAGATAGATTCGCTCCTTCCTACATAACAGGAAACGGATCGTTATACAAGAAGGAGCTGTCTCCACGGAAGAACTAGTAATCTCGTGTATTCTTGGACCATTACTGTTCCTGGCCGACATTAATGACATACCAGAAACAGCAACTGCATCAGAGACCAAATTATTCGCATATGGCAACAAACTGCTTTGAACCATCACCAACCAAGCAAACAGTGACCGTCTTCAGAAAGTCTTAAATAAAGGCAAAAGTAGTATACCGCTATTCGAAATTCATAAATCGATTGAGAAAAAAAAAACAAATCCGGGTTACAAACTAAAACTGAGGGAAACACATCAAATATAAGAGGAAAACAACGACACAACAGAAACTCAACACTAAAATGCAACACACACACAGAAACGAACTATAATATAATGGCCATTTTCCTGACTTGGTACAGGACATTTTAAGAAAAAATGGTGGGTTGATCCTGGTTGTGGCTAGCCAAACCTACCGCTTTTATGGCAATGTTAAATGTTAAAAATAATAGCTATCAAAAGGTACCAGGAATATAATTTAATACGCCAGACGCGCGTTTCGTCTACATAAGACCCATCAGTGACGCTCAGATCAAAAAAGCCCGAAAGCCAAAACAAGTACAGAGTTGAAGAGCATTGAGGACCAAAAGTTCCAAAAAGTTGTGCCAAATACGGCTATGGTTATATGCCTGGGATAAGAAAATCCTTAGTATTTAGAATAATTCATACTTTTGCAAACAGTAAATTTATAAAAAGGACTATAGAATAGATATACATGTTAACACTAACTACAGAATAAAAACGAATACATAAAACAACCTAAATCAGCACATAAAAAAGGCACAGCCGAACAACGTATTATATGTTAGCCGAAGAAATCGACGCACAATGTGACGTCACATTTAAATTTCTATAAATTTCCAAAAAAATAGAATAGAGTTAAAGATTAGGTTTGTAATACTGATATAACATGTATTAATAACAATGAAAATTGCAATACTTATTAATACAAAATTGTGGTAGTAATTAGATAATTAATTGTATTATCAAGCTATGTCGGTATTTCTTCTAAATCAAACTGTAAACCAAATACATCGTAGAAATTTAGTTGACCCAAACTAAAATCTTATAAATGAACTGGGTGATTAATTATCTTTACCGTAACACACGAATAGAACAGAAAAAAAATAAGATTTACAACTACAAACGATAAGAAATTTGACAAAATCCGATGAGAATAACAAATATAACATCAAAACTAAACATCATTGGGAGACAGGGAAAACAAATGGCAATGAGTTTCTAAGCCAAAAAATTAACTGTTATAAGAATATAAAAGAAAAATCTACCAGTGATACAAACATCATACAAACTCCACGGTCAAACTCTAGACACAGTTGAAGCCAGCAAATACGTAGGAATATAACAATTAGGATCAACCTAACCTGGGATAAACATATCGACAATACAGATGGCAAAGGAAATACTGCATTAGGATATATCCGCAGAAATCTCAAATGCTGCACAAAACCTTTATAGGCAGCTGCATATGTATTCATGGTAAGACCTGGCAGCAGTGGAATATACATGCACAGGGTGGGATCCAACAAACCAAAATAAGATCAAGGCAATAGAGCAGGTACTGAAAAGAGCAGCAAGATTTGTGCACAACTACACCGACCGAAAATATGGCGGTGTCACAAATATGGTTAAAACATTATAATGGGAGAGTCTTGAAGAACGGAGGAAAACAAACAGATTAATAAATGCATGCTATTCAAGATCGAGCATGATCTAATCGACATAGACCGGCAACAATATCTGACCCCAATTGTTATCGAACCAGATGTAAAAAAAACGCTTCTACCAAGAAAGAACCAGTACAGATGCCCACGACCAATCTTTCTTTTCAAGGACCATCAGTGATTGGAGTTATTGTAATTAGCTAGGCAACACCAGAGTGTACATAGTTTTGATAGTAAAATATTGCGAACGTTTTAAAATGTAAATAGCCAAGAGAGAACCTTCTGTGTTGCCCGACATTGCGCAATTTTAGTTTATATATGCTACAGGCATTTTGTAAGATGACTGAATTTTCAAGCAATTTAAAAAATGCCTAACCTTGACAGGCATTATATAAAATGACTAAACATACCTAGTCATTTTGTAAAATAACTGAAATTTTGAAACAAAATTCAATAAATTGCTTGTTCGGTTTCAGGCAATTTGTACAAAAAGGATATCATTGAGATGCATATGACAAAAAGTGGACACAAACACAACATCTTGCAAAGAAAATAACTGATGGTTCGTTAGAATTCATTTATTCTTCAAAAAACAATTGGGAAAGTTTGTATGTCATATGATATGTTTTTGTTTAGTGAAACTATGTTAAGTATGTACTCACTAGATGTATTTCAAATACTAGTATTAAATTTATGATTATTTTGTTAAAATGGCAGAAGGACAAATTGTTCTTTCAATAGAACAAAATTTCAAAATTTACAAACGAATTTTTAGAAAATCGAGATTCAAAACAGTGAAGTGAAACATATGAAGCAGAGAAAAAGAAGTTCGTTTTAAAAAGACTGATTGCTGTATGTTTGCTTTCAGTAGCAAATATTGCATGCATTTTTAAGACGAGAATAATTTGGTTATAATTCATATGGGTTATTTCTGCAGTGGATTGACCTGTATAAAGGATTATGAAATTTCGACTGCCGCTTGCAATTGAAATGAAGGTATTTTGGATAGGAACAGAAAATTCCACCTGCAGAACGGTCATAGAGTTCTTAACGTGCAGAGAGTGTTGCACTTTACTAACATGCGGCAATATATTCACTGTCCCCATTCAGAAATAATGAGAATTTATACATCCTCATCCAAACAAATTCCCCTCTATAGCATTGGTTTCGCCATACAAGGTCGTGTTTGGTTGTGATGCAAAGATATGAGTATCTTCATCTTCACTGCCTCAAGGGAATTCCTGGGTCTTTGCAATCCGAACAGTAGTTAACTGTGGTTAAAATCTCGAAAATCGACATAGACGAGACAAACAACGGTGCATTGACAGGGTAAGCGTCTCCTGCTATAGCTGCATCACCCGTCATGGGCAGATCTGCTTCATTCCGTTAAAAGCTATAAGCCAAAAGATACAAGTCAAACTAATCATGATAATGTACTTTGAATCTTTTGGGAACATATGAAAAAGAAGATATTCATGTGTGATGTGTCTGCTTATTGCGAAACCCAATGTTGTCGAACGTTAAGTGTTTTATCTGAAAAGGGAATGAAAGAGCTAAATGTGTCATGATCCAGGTTTCCCCAAATGTGGTCGAAGCGCTAAAACCAAATTTTACGCCAAACAATGTATTTGCAGAAAAATCAGGACAAATATTGTGTAACAGTTCTGTCATTCAAACATTTTAAGAAATAACAAATAATTGTCTAGTTCTGTGCTTGTGTGAATTTGGAATAATTCAGTAAAATTTATTTTTGATTATTAAAACTCTTAAAATGCAAGCTTTAACATTCAGTATTTATCATAAATAAAACTCTCTGTTGTTCAAAGCTTTCAATTGTTTTTTTAACATTTCATTCTATATAATAATTTCAGGCATTTTGTAACATGCCTTTACATTTTTCCAGGCATTTTGTAAAATGCATAGAAAAATTAGTCATTATGTAAAGTGACTGAATCTTGCAAGCATTTTAGAAAATGCCTAAAGTTTTAAGGCATTTTACAAAATGCCTAAATTTAGAAAATGCCTGTAACATATATATGGTCAGATCATATGTTTTCGTACGTCGTATGAATTCGTACTATCCATGCTTTTTCAATGGAAATTGTGACGTCACAATGCATTCTTAATAGCACGAAAACCCATGAGCCGAGAATATAGATCGTTATTTATTCATATATGTATTGTATCGGAGTTTTACGGTTAAATAGTGATATATCATGTTAATATACACGGTCGTATATTCAGCAGATCCCGACATATATGCACTGTACATTGATTGCCCACATGAAAGCCTCGTGTATTTCTTATCTATCGTTTTGATATTCGTTGTAGTGTTTGTTATGATCGACAATAAAGTGAAGTGTTATATTTCGTTTAATTTCGATAATTATCAACATATTTTGGAACATTTATTTAATGAAAAATAACAATCATCTAGCATCTATATACATGTTAGAGTCAATCTCTCTTATCTTATTGTCTAGGAAATTTGTTATCTTATTTCTGACAGCATCATATCTTTCCATTTCCATGGCTATTTTTTGTCTAGATCTAAGTTCGTCTTCGTCAATAGTCTGCGAATTTCCCTCTGTTGAATTTTTTCTACGATGATCTAATGCACTGTTCATTGAAACATTCGTGAGACTTCTTAACATTCCAGGTGTTGTCGGAATAGGTGGCAGTGCTGCTATGCTCTGTGCCCTTTGCATGGCAGGAACGCATACTGAATGTCTTTTTTGTTGGCTCTTCAATTTTGATACGTCAGGAATACTGGCAATTACCGATTGACGACGGGGGTCGGACATTTGCTTTTCCAGAGTAGCAAGTTTCCTCTGCATAGATGGCGGCAGTTCATAATTCGCATTTGACTCTTTCCGTTTTCTGTCAATTTTACGTTTCATTAGTGCACATGCACCGTTTGTATAAACATTAAGATCTCCGTCATGTCTTGAAGGTCTAAGAACCACAGTAAGCGGAGGTTGGTGTTCATTTGCTTTCATTCTCGTCGATATATTTTTTCGCAGTATTTTGACTGCGTGTGTCATCTTGACAATTTTGTTAACATCTAAATCTGTCACATGACCTTGCTGAAGGAGAGGAGTATCTGGTACTAACTGTTTTGAATTTTGATTTTTTGGAATAGTCAAAGAAGTCAAAATCTCAGGAATGACAGATGATAGTTTTCGATGTTCCTCGATAAGATAATCGTTTACTGATAAATCTTGTGCCATTTTAGCAGACGTTCTTCTGGCACGTGCTCTTGTCGCTGTGTCCGGTATAAATCCATTTCGGTTATATTTTCCCATTGCATTATTTAACTCGCTTATTGTTATCTGCTTCTTGCTATTTTGTTTCCATTCTTTCTCGACACGGTTCTTTGCGAGATCCATTTCAATTTCTCGGTCACGTGATTTCAAATGAAGTTGTTCCAATCTATATTGAAGTTGTTGATCCTCTTTATGGTTTATAAACAACATTTTCTCCATATATTTGGGAGGACCGTTTTTTCTCTTCTTTGAAGAAGATTTTGAACCCATTTTCATCACTTTAGCCTGAAAAAAAAAAAAAAAAATTGATAGTTGTGAATGTCGGAAGCCTATGTGACTGATCAGCACTTCTGAAGGCTAAAAATGTAAATACAATTTTATAACAGTCAATCAAAATTAAAAGAAGATTTATTATCTATATGTTTGAACGGCGGATTTGTTTGCCAATACGGATAATGCGGACCTACAAGTTGTCCCAATAGTTCACACTGGCTTAAATTTGAAATCTTATCTTAATATTTTAAAAACTGCTGACATTTCAGGGGAAACACCGGATTGTTCAAATAAAACGTCTTTTTACAAAATATCATACCTAATTGCAAATATTAAAAGATTATACATATTTTCGACTATGTGACGAAAATTTTCTCTATGTTAAAATATATAGGAACGGTTTCCAATGCTGGTCAAAACATCTGGCATCTTACGTGCAAATCTAGTTATAATTTTTTATTTCTATTCTAAAGTATAAGATAATTTTAAAGCTTTTTAACAGAATTCACATTTACTTTTGTTTTCAAACGTTTAAAAAGACGACAGAATAGAGCAAATAATATTTTAAAGGCCATAAATGTATCTGATTTATATCGTTATAATAATTTCTGATGGAAGGAACTATTTAAGAATTACCTTATATCACGACTTAATATTCCAGTATATATATGTGATATGTTGAGATTCGTCACAGCATACGTTTTTATCAAAAGTCATCGGAACGAGCCTTCAAAGTAGACATGCGAAAATGTCTCATGCATTGATATTGTTTTGGTTTACAACAATCTTTAAAAGGTGATTTATTTCAAAAATTTATCAGAACTTGTCTGGAAGTTTATTTAACCACAATTATATTGTAACATTTGATGTTGATTTTCAACATTCCCTGCCCAAGATAAGCCTTTCACATGGGGTGTCGAACACCTAAAGTTTGGTGATAACAGCGACGTTGATTTATACACTTTCTGTTTTCCTAACGTGATAGTTGGTACTACTTTAAAATATTACGGCTACCTTTACATGAAATCTATGTTCCTTATGGTAAAACATTTATAAAAGGTCAACGTTATGTAAAAATCTTATTCGGGAATAATAATAATGAAAATGGAAAAGTCTTAAAGAACGGAAACTAATGATTGATTTACACTCCGTAGGGTTGATGATCCGACAATTGTTTCTGATACTTTTTTAAAAGACAAAAGTCAGATATATATATTATGACAAGAGGAAAAATATAATGTGTAACTATAAATTATTATTTAAGACATAAACTGAAACAACTGTTGTATTATATGTCTCTGCAAAAGTGTATATCAACTGTGGATGGACATGAGCGTATAATTCCTCTATAACACTATATCATTACTGAAATAATCATGTTGCCAAATCATTTTCCAGCAGTGATAAAGGAGATATCGAATAAGGGTTTTTTCAGCCCCCCTTCCCCTGTATTACAGTGAAAAGTCGTATTCATGTTATTACTCATAGTTTCAATAAAAATTAGCACTAATGTTATGAACTAGTCCAGCAACTTCAGTGATGATTACAATATCTTTACCTTCGTCAAAAAGTAACATATGTATTGAACTTCCCATCTCCTGAATTATACTTAAAAAAATCCCGTCTTCTAAAATGTAATCACATATTTTTTTTTACTTTAAAATATAGTATTTCAAAGAAAGTAAAATTATACGCATCTTACCTGTAAACGGATAAGTGACACAATGGTCATATTTTAGGGAGCTGTATAAATTTTATATTACTTTTAGAAATGGAATTTTAATTTGAATATCTTGTTTTCGATTGAAAGTTTTCTTGATAGGGGCCTGGGGTTAATTTTTTTCCGTAAAACTTTACTTTTGCAACAATAAACAAAATATCATAATAATAAAAATATTTTTTAAATGTGTTTCAACACACCTTGTAAGGATGTCCTGCATCCATTGGACTTGAATACAGGATAAAAAATAATAACAAAATAACAGGAGTTGTAATCTCGTTCAACGGTTTCCCCTAACTTATACTATCCAAAATATATAAATGGAATGTTCAATTGATATTGGATTGATGGCGTATACAAATACATTAAGGGTCTTGTATCTGTCACAATGCATATTCAACAACCCATTTAGTGCTTTATTGCAGTAATATTATCATAATTGAACTAGTATTAATATAAAGTACTATAATTCAGAAAATGAAATATGTCATTAGGTCAAGTGTGTATTGTTTTTATGCTCCGAGGTATTCATGAATGACTTCTATTTGGTTCAAACTTATGGAGAAATACAAATATCTTCAATAAAAAATGAGTTATGTTTTCGGCTCTTTGGTCGGGTTTGTTGTCTCTTTGACACATTCCCAATTTCCATTCTCAATTTTGTACCTTATTCACCTGTTGATATAGTTTAGTTGTGTCTTTAATTTAATAATACATGCAATTAAATGGATAACGGGAATCAACAAAAATACCGGACTGTACAACATATCATATCGAACACCCGACTCCTAAATAATAAAAGAAGAATGTGTCTGATGACATGAATGCCCCCGCTCAAGCTTTGCAATTTTCCAAGTCAAAAATGGGCATAACTCTAGAACGGTAAGTGACTCACTGCCCAACTATGTCTGCTAGTTTTGGTTCTTAGCATTGTGTACGAGTTTCATAAAATTTGCACGAGGTAAACTTAAGTTAGAGTGCAGAAACGAAAATCGGACGGACGAAAGGACGGAAAGGCGGACGGACAGGGAAGCAGACGGACGGTCAAGGGTAACACTTAATGACTACAGCGGGGGCATACAAAACACAAACAAAAACAAACTGACGTTCAAACAAAAACAACTACGAATAACACATGGTCCAGTTACCAGTAGCGTGGACTTTGATTAAGAGTTTGGGAACTTCTTTTATGTATGGATCCCCCTAATGCCCTATCGGGTTGATAATATTGAACAAAATTTGGTGCCTTGGCCGGAAATGGGGGACGACGGTGAGCTTGCTATTCATTTACACCTATTCATTACGATATACAAATGATATACAATGAAAAAGGCAAAGCGTTAATTATATCTTTTTGAATTTAAATAAGATTAGAAATACAATTTTATATTAAATTGTCCTAAACAAATGTGGCAATGAAACTCACAAACTTAAATAACTAGCTACAAAACCAGCAAACCCCACCGTAAATAGAATAATTGTGTATCCATAAGACAGATCCAGATATTGACAAGAAAACTAGAAAATTTGTTCAGCTAGATAAATAACATACGGATAGATATATGATAAAGAAACATGAAGGGATACTAGATATGTGAATAGAAGAACTGGTTCATAAACTATTTATCATAGTAATAACCAAGAAAATATTACTGTTAAAATCGGGTCCAGACTTGAACAAATTTCAAATATTTTCTTCAAATCTTTGTTATAGGTGGTTCTCTTGGACCCAGTTAAGAAATCTCATTCGAGTTCTGAATATTTCATATTTGAACTTCATACTAGTTTCAAAACTTTAAAACATGGAATGTGGAATGTTAAAGTGTCATAAATTAATTCATTGAAGGAGAAAAAAATCAAAATCTTCATGTGAAAAAAACACTGTTGGTCCAATTTTCATGAAATTTAACACAAAATTAAATTACTTTATTAAAGTTTTTAACACCCTTAATATACTTAAGTTTAATGTTCAGTCAATTTTGACGAAGCATTCGCGCGAAGAGTTTTGCAATTGAAACAATAACAGTAACAACAGAACTGCCTGATGTCGCAATGGAGACAATAACCGGCTACAAAAAAGTTCACAAACCCCAAATTCAGCGATTGATTGATTGCTGGCTGCTTAACCCCGCATTGGTGCAAAATCATGATCGTGTCTATGTAAATTCCAGTGAGAAAACACACAAAGCACTAAATTATTTGACCAACTAAAAAAAAAATAATGGAGAGAAAATAAAAAAAAATATAAAACACATTACCTTAGGTGGCCATAGAACAGATGCACACGCAGGGTATATACCCCCAGTATTGCAATAATCACACGTGGTAAGGTCCATATTCATATCCAGAACTTAGTCAGATATCATATTCATGTAGAGTAAAAATTCTTATGATCTTGCTTTAAAGTACAAAATGCAAAAAAGACAAACTGTTGCGGACACCACACAATTTTCAGGTTTTTTACTGTACGTCTGAAAGTTATTCCTAATGAAAAAAAAAATCTATAACACGGAGAGTATGTTCCCTCTCACCTAAAGGGAATGATTTAAATTTGAAAGTGCGTAAATGGAGACAAGAAATATGAAAAAAATAGAATTACGTGATCTTAAACAAATTTGTATTTACAGGAATAATGGGATTAGACTTAACAACTTTATTTTTAAAGAAATTAGTGAATTTCATGTTTGAATCGGAAAGTTAATTGTATTCATTTTTAAATAAAACACATAATAGATAAAAGGCCAATTATTTAAAAGCACATTAAATACACATGATTATTTCTTATTGTAAAATTTAATTGTCTTCCCTTGATCGAGTAGAAGTTTTCGATTATTAATATGAAATAGAATTTTTTAAGATAATATATTTATGCAAGTTAAAGAACAAACGTTCTCAACCCAATGGTATCACAAATTAATAGATTTATTAAAACATGAAACACTTTATATACACTGGTAATTTTGGGGAAACACATCGTCAGTGAAACGACGGGCGATTTATCTCCACAGTACTGACTGAAGTAACTTATAACGACAGTCATTTCTGTCTGGTTGCATAGTTGGATACCACAGAAACTCTTTAAACTAATTGGTAAAATAAAACTCTCTGAGAAATATTTAAGCATATGCACTCGACAAAAAAGTTAAGGACCACTAGTCATTACATGTTGACCAAGGGATACGGACTAAACTAATGTGCCTAAAAATACGACACCTAGCTGAATGTTTTGTCGATATCATGTGCACAATCTCCCAACATTAACTCATTTTTCAATTTTCAGCTTTCA